ACCAGGTCAGTGCTACGGTTAGAAGACCGCGATAAATGCAAACCATCTTTATAGAATTTGAAGGGAGAATAGTTCTTGGTGGAAAAGGAGTGACATGTCGAAGAAAAGGTCTGGGGAGCGGGCACTGACATTTCACCATCCCCTCCTGGTCAGGATAGCTAACTACCATTCTACTTGACATAATTATCTTTCCTGGTGCTCACTGACCCCACTTCAAAGGAAGAGGCTTGTTCAGATCACCATCGCACCTAGGATCCCTCAGCTATTTTCTTCCTTCTGCTTGTGCAACTGAGTGGGCATGAGGAACAGAATGGCAGTATAGCCACGCGAAACGATCTTAGTGACACTTTGGCGCCCACGCATAGAAATCTTTGGTCCCACGCAGCCAGATGTCCGAAGTCTCGACGTCGCTGGAAGGTACATAGCTTCAACTCCACACAAGGTTGGTAATTGAGCTTTATTGGCCCATGTTCTTGCGGGGACTCCTTCATCAGAGCCTGAAAATTCATGAGAAGCCGCACATAGAGACTTTTGACTTTACTCTATCTTCTCCAACCAGTCTCCTTTCAAACAATCGACTTGTGAGAACGGTAGGCCCGATTGGCTCTAAAGAGTCGAATCTGTTAGGCACGACATTTGAAACCACACAAAACAAAATCGGTACAGAAGAAAATAGGAGGGCTCAAACAATATCTCTCGGTTTTGAAACTGTTTTTGGTTTTTGCTCCTTGACACCGTAACCTTCGTTTCCTGGAATTCTTCTAGAATTAGTCCAACGCCGTTGCGGAGTCTACTGTACTTGTTAGAAATCGCGGCTTCCTCTTACCTAAGGCATCTTCAGCCGTGACCTTGCTATCAGTGACGTCCTTCTTGATGGCGTACCTCAACCCCTTCTTTCCTGGAAGTGATTCTCAGGACCTGAACGGCTCTCCCGTGCTAAGCAACTACAACCATGGCGCATCGAATGCTAAGAAAGCGCTAGGGATCGCATTAAGGAACGCACAGATTCGCAGACGGGGCCTACAACTCAACCTTAATTATTTCTTAGAAATCTGTCCTAGCGTAGTTGCTTGTTCACGAGATTAGGCGATGTTCCTTCCTGAGGTGAGTGAATAAAATCCTTTTCCGTTCATTCACGAACCCAAGCACCCCTCTGGTACAGCTCAATCTCAGTCCATGTCCAGGGCTATCCCTTGCTGGCGAAACCTATTACCTACAAGGCATCAGACGATAAAGTTGGCTTGGCATACCGTCAAAAATTCGAATGCTGATAGGAAAGACTTTGTTCAAAAGTAATGAAAGGGAAAACTTCAACCTCAGTCAATCGCCCTGCGACGGATGCAATCGACTTGCATTCTGATAACACGATCGTAACAGATAAGCTTGTGTGACTACTTTCTGAGATAACCGGTGTCTACGTCAGAG